TGGCTGGCCTGTGTAATACACGTGTGCCTGCGCAGAAGACACCTCGATGAACAACAGTTACAGGTAAGTGCAACACTGTTTCCACAGAGGCAGCTACAGTTGTTTCCAACATACCTATATGTGCATTTTCACAGACCACTGAAAGTGAGAGACTGTATCAACAGGTTGATCCACGGAGGTCTTTTATTGCTCCATAGCTGGTTCCTGACCCCCCTCCCCCATCATTGCAACCTCACAAGCATGAGTGGGTACTAGATGCTGTCAGCCACTTTATATTCAGAAGCAATAGTGTTCTATCAAAGGAAAGATTCTCAAGAGTATATTCCATATTCTTCACAGCCACAAATATGTAACCAATGCATAAGATACTGCAGAATTTGAAAAGAAACGCTTAAATGGGAGGCAGCCAGGGGGCTTTTATGGTTTATTTATTTCTTTATTTTTCTTTATATTCTATATAGTCTGCCTTTCTCACAGAGACCCAGGGATACAGGGACTATATCTCTCCTTTGCTGAGAGAACTGTACTGATTGCCTGTTTGTTTCTGGACACAAATCCTTTAAAGCCGTGTTTTGTTATGTTTTATTTTGTAAGCCACCTCAGACAGGCTGCCTGGAAAGGTGGTATAGAAATTTCTAAATTAATAAGCAAGTCCTCTCAGTTTGAGTAGTCAGGGCTCAAATTGCTGTTGTAGTAGCTCTGTGGCTCCTGTGTGCTTTTTTCAGTTTCCTTTCATCCCTTCTGTTATCCTGAAGGTGAAATTGGAGACATAGATCCAATCTCTGTAATCCTGTACTAGCCAGAGAGGCCGTGTTTCTCAGTTCCACTGAAGTACTCTTTTCAGGATCTCTAGCTGCATCAGATTGCACAGACTGACTGTGTTTTTGGTAAAGATTCAACAGATGTTATCTTTGGGCGAAAATTCACAATATGAAGTCCATGAGTCAGGACATGGGTTGCTGACCTGACTCACAGTTATGCTGTCATCGGCAATTGTCCCTAGGATGGACATATGGTGCCAGACAAAGGGACATCACATGTGCCATCTTAGAGCTGTTTCTAGTGGTAAAAATGCTGTGGGAGGTGAGTCCATAGTCCCTCCCTCCCTCCCTCTCTCCCTCCCTCCCTCTCCTGCACTCCATTTGCAGCTAGACAGAGAAATACTGCTTTTAAAATGTGAGTTCCACTTGAACGTATAACCATGAGTTGGGTTGGGAACTCATTTCCTGACTCGTGGGTTTTGTTTCATGCATTTTGGCCCATTCACTTTTGGCATGCTGATATCAAACAGTTTCTTCTTAGGGCAGCCCTGTTAAAATCTCTAATACCTATATTCCATGGTGGATAGAAGCTACATAGTGTTCTTTGTGCTCTCTTTGAATCTCTGCATGAGATTCCTGTTAGCCTGGGGACCCTTATAATTCTCTTTCTGATGGTTGTCACCTCTTCAGGAGACTCTCCGTGTTAGGGGCCCTGTCATTTTTATTAGGGCCTGTATACTTTCCATAAGAACATGATACTTTTAAGAACTCATCAGATTTTGATGCCTAAGGGCAATTTCACCTTTCATAGAGTTCAGGAAGTCAGTCTTCTCTTCTTCTGCCCAGGGTCTCTCCATAAGAAAGTAACTGAATACCTTGGACTTGCATATAGTCCTATGTATTGGCATTCATAGGTTACAGGAAATCAGGTTCTATATAATATTTCACTCCTGCATGATGGGGAAGAAAGGGTTCAACAGTATTTCTTAGCAGAATGGAAATCCATTGGTATTGCTTGCAGAGCACAAGGTGACAAGGCTTTAGAGGGCATTTTTTCATATTCCATTTATTTATTTATTGTATTTATAGCCTGCCCATCATGCAAACGGGTTACATCATATTAGTAATACAATAAATACAATTAAAAATTCAAAACACAATAATAAATATTAAAAACAGTAGTGACAGTCTGACAGAATCAGCTAGCTGTGAGAGGTTGCCTGGCATATTATTTGGCTTGGTAGGTGGGTGACAACAACCTCAGGGAGGCCATACATCGATGCCCTCTGCCTCAGCCAAAAGCCTGGCAGAACAGCTCAGTCTTGCAGGCCCTGCAGAATTGAAGAAGATCTCGCAGGGCCCTAATCTCTACAAGGAGCATGTTCCACCAGGCAGGGGCCAGGGCAGAAAAAGCCCTGGTCGAGGCAAGGTGGATGTCCTTCGGGCCAGGGTCAACCAGGAGATGCTGGTCCATAGAGCGTAACACTCTTCAGTGTGTGTACGGGATGAAGTGGTCCCTCAGATATGTTGGTCCCAGGCCGTGTAAGGCTTTAAAGGTTATTACCAACACCTTGAAGTGAATCTGGAAGTCAACCGGCAACCAATGCAGTTGATGGAGCACTTGCCAAACGTGAGCTCGCATAGATGTTGATGTCAGCAGGCACACCGCTGCATTTTGCACCAGCTGTAATTTCCAGATCAGCCTCAAGGGTAAGCCTACGTAGAGTGAATTGCAGTAATCAAGCCTGGAAGTGACCATTGCATGGGTCACTGTAGCTAAGTCCTGGGGGAAGAGATAGGGTTTCAGTCACCTAATATGCCTAAGATGGAAAAATGCAGATCTGGCAACTGCAGTAACCTGTGTCTCCATAGAAAGGGAGGCATCCAGCATTACTCCCAGGCTCCTCACTTTTTGGGCCAGCACCAAACGTCCCTCTTCCAGAATGGGGAGTCTGATACTTACTCCCAGGCCCCCCCGACCCAGGTACAGGACCTCCGTCTTTGATGGATTTAACTTCAACCGGCTCTGCTGTAACCATCCAGCCACCCACCAGAAGTGCAGCTATACCTATGGTGTTTAGCATCAGTGCTTTTATTCAAGATATTTGTAAGGCAACTTGCATGGTCATCTTCCACAACATTTGACAGGTATTTTAAGACTGGCTTGGTTGCCTTAGTTGATATGTACAGTAGCTCTTCTTGACACTCAATCAAGCCTCTGTGGATAGGATACTGCTTCTGAGTGAGAATGGAATGATGGACTCACTGTGATTGTTCCTTCTACTCAGATACATGGAGGACATCATTGCCACACTCTAAGATGGGGGTTGTCATGGCTGCCAGTCAAGGAATGCTGTAGTGTTCTTTGCCACCTAAGTGATGTCTCTAATATATACCTCTGATCTTGCTGCAAACAATATAGTTAAGCCTTGGCTGACATCTAGCTGTTTATAGTTCCTATCTGGAGACAGTAGAGATGTGGAGGTCCATCTGTTCCTCAAGGCCTTATTTCTTTATTTTTTGCAATGAAAAAACTGGACAATTTGACAGACCACTGGAAAAAATATTTTCTCTTTTAGAGTGAGTAAAAAAAAAAATTTTCTCTTTTAGAGTGAGTAAAAAAAACAACAGCGTTCCGTGTGCCTCGGTGTTTAGTCATGCCGGCCACATGACCACGGAAACATCTTCGGACATCGCTGGCTCTTTGGCTTTGAAACTGAGATGAGCACCGCAACCCTAAAGTTGGATTCGACTGGCTTTCGAGCAAGGGAACCTTTACCTTTACCTTTTTAAAAAACCCTTTTAAGCAAAGTTTTTCCACACTCAAAATATATAACATGAAAAGGTCTTAGTACTTTTTCAGTTTTTCCAGTGGAAAAATTGAGAAATTTTGAGAGCACTGGAAAAACATACTCTTACATTAGAGATATATGTAATATTTCCAAGATTGTTTTTGTTTTATTGTAAATTATTATTTGGGCAACAATATGCTATAGTGTATTCAATTATCATACATGTTCAGTGTTTTCAGTGTTGTAACCTTTGGCTTAATATCCAAACATGCTGGTAGTTCTACCTGTTATGACTGAGAAAGGTTCTGTTCAAATAATATACTTTCTTTTGTTTACTACAGAATTTGTTTTCTACCTTCAACTTTTATTTTTTCTTACCACTCAGATAGCCAAAATTAAATATGTATACTTTGGTAGCATAGTTTGCAACTCTTTCTTAGGTACTGGGTATATTTAACAATTTTTCGTACAGAGAATGATGATATTTATATTTTTTTAATTCTATAAGTATGTCAGAACACTTTTGTATGCTAACTTACAATTGATGCATTTTATGTTACTAGATCAGTAAAATAAATTTAGGTTTGAAAGAGAAATAAGTATTGCATATATTCAGTTTCCCCCAAACTTCTGTTTTGTGTTTGTGTTTTTTTTCTGGGGGGAACAGTTTTTCTTCTCCCAAGGCTTCAAAAGTTCTTGAACTTCTGCATCTCTAGGACATGGTTCAGTTTGTTCCAGTTTTTCCAATGAGTTCCTTTGTATTGAGGTTGGCTACCAATTCTGTTCTGAAAGTATTGGAACTGTTGAAGGAGCAGGAGGATGCTTCCTGTTGGTGGTCATAGGTAGCAGTATTTTCCCCCTTACTCTTCTTCCAATGGGACAAATCACCAATCACTCAAGGGTGCTGTCCATATCTCTAGGTAGGAGAAACAAGCCCCATGTTCTGCTCTCTCCTGCTTTCACATCTGCAACATTCAAATGTAGCGTATTCCGTATTAAAACATTTCTGTGCTTATGTAGGATAAATTCCTTTGTAGTGGTGATGTGCTGATTTTGGAGAAGCTGAAACTACCAGGAACATTAAAAGTAATTAGTATCTTATATATTGCTCCCTCCAGCCATTTGTTTTGGCCAGCTTTCAGGAGTGGTTCATGAGGTTTTTTGATAAGCGTAGTATAGATCATAAAAGTAACACTTTCTGAATTCTTGTTATGCCAAATGTTTTGCTAATATGGTGACCATGAATTGTGTATAGAATTTCTACAAATAGTGGATAAGACAGTAGAAGGAATATTTTTAAAGTTTTATTTCTGTGCATGCCTTCTTCATTTGATGGTTCCTCAAACCATGTCAGCATTTTTCTTTGTTTTGATCAAGAAAAAATTATTCAGAAATGCTAATCTGCTATATGACTGGGTTTTTGTTTTCTTTTCTTTTTTTTCCAGAAATGTGGTACTGGGTTTTCCTATGGGCTCTCTTCTCCTCTCTCTTTGTCCACAGTGCTGCAGGAGTTTTAATGTTTGTGATGCTGCAGAGGCATAGGCAAGGGAGAGTAATCTCTGTCATTGTGGTCAGCATTGGATTTCTGGGTTCTGTAACTGGAGCTATGATAACCAGTAAGTCTTACATTTTTAATACATTCATGACTCTGTCTGGAGGTTACTATTAACTATGCTGAGCACTGTTCATGAACTGTTTCTTTTGTCTTTAATATTAAATTTTTGGAGGCTTACAGTTGGGTTGTTGTTTGTTGGATGAGAATAAAGACCAAACTACATGATACAATTTTTAACATGTTTTGTTTGGATCCCCCTGACCTGACTTTGATTCAGACAGTCACTCATTGATTGTGTGGGACTCACTTTCCAAGTGTGGTTCAGCTTGGAATAATGGTGCAGAGGAAGAAGGGGGTACAGTTCCTTTCCTGCCCTAAAACATTTCCTGGGGCCACTACTTGATCCGTTAGGCTGGGGCATCATGTGTATACTGATGGGCTACACATGCAGCCCTCCTGGGCCATTTTGGATTATTAAAAAAGCATGTCAGGGGAAACTGAAATCCCTTCTCCCTCCTGCATTGCAGTTCCTATACAAATTGTGGCCCCATGTGTCTGGGAAACAAGTTCCCTTGCAGTTGACTTTTCTTGTCTGAGTCAACATGTTAAAAATTGTAACATGTCGTTTGGCCCTAAGGCCACATAAAATGGACTGCCAGAGACAGATTTCATAAAGGATCCATTCAGATTTCATGAAAAACTGAGTGTCTATGATGGACGCAGCTTTAGTTTGTTGCTGTACTCCTTCCTTCTGTTCCTCCCCTTCCATGCAGAGATCAATTGAAGGGTTTGGGAAACCTTAAATTCCAGTTTGTGATGACCTTTGAATGTAGACAACTTGTCAACGTGGAATTTTGTTTCTTCTCCACAAACCAGATTCTTAAATGGGATTAAACTGATTTTATAATCCTAATTTGTAGAAAGGAAACTAATTCCAGTTCAGACAAGTGGCATCATTCAGACATCACAGTGAATTGAACTTTGACTCAAGGCTTCCTAAACCTAGAAGCCATCAATCATACTCTAAGAAGTGAGGGAAGTACATGAGCATAACAACAAGCTGTGTTTATCATGATGTCTGAATTAAGTGATAGTGTCTCTGTCAACTTTAAAAAGAAAAGAAGAACCTAGTGGTGGGAAATAATTTCTCCTCCTCCCCCCCCCCCAAGCTTTTTATTAACATGTGAGGCCTGTTTCTGAAATAATCATTAATTTTGCTATATACTTTGGCTGTGAATCAGTCTTGCAGTTACCAGCTTTCCCAGGACAGCAACAGTTTCTTCGGACAAACAGCTTTTCAGGATCACTATACACTGTCCTATTACAAAAGTCCTAATGGGTGGGCTGATAAAGTATTTTTGTATTTTCCTATAAAGCTACTCTGAAGGGTAATGTTGGTACTGCCGCTTGAGTGAATTAAAAGGAAAGAATTGCAAGGTGAATCTCATTGTCAAAAAGAGGAATCGTGTAGGCCAGCAGGATCCACTTCAGCACCATTGTAACCTGATGTAAATGACAGTGATTTCAGAGGTTTCCTATTTGCCTTATTTCTGGCTTTGAGTTTAAGTGTTTGGATACTGAACTTGTTTTGTGGTAAGTTTGTTTTACATCGGGAGAACATACACTGTTATGTAATAAAAACTTCAGTGTCTCTATATAGCCTTTTTAAAGGAAGCACCATTTACAATATAACTGTGGCCCATACTGAGCAGTAGTTCTGCATAGGAACAGTTGTTGGTGCTGCTGCAAGCGCATTTTCTCTCTGCTGATTCAGCTTTCGCAACAGAAGGCAGGATTTTGATAGGCCTTTGTAAATTTTCCTGAGAGCCAGCAAGACCTGGAATGGAATATCTGTGGGCCCCATTTTTATAATGGATTTCTGACAGTACAACCGTAAACAGGGTTACACTCTTCTAAGTCAGTTGACGTCAGTGGGATTAGTATAGTGTAACTGTGAATTGCCAGCAGGGCAAAGCTGCATGGCCCTGTCTCTCATACTAAATGTTACATTGTCCTTGAGCTTTAGGAAAATTAAATGAAATTGATCCTTTCATAGCTGAAGTAGGTGGTATGACTGGTCCAACACTCAGCTGAAATGTATTGCCAATTAAAATTGTTAATGGAATCTCTTCAGAATATATAAAGATCAATAAGTAGTGGTTAATAGATAATTTTTTACAGGTATTCATTTTTATGTATTATGCACATTCTTTATAGGTATTTATGAGAGAGCAGCTTTATAAAATAATTGCTATTTTTGGAAAAGGAGACTGTTTAATAAAGCTTGAATTTTTCTTGCTAGAAGAAGCTGTTGAAATCTGCTGTACTTAGATCATATGTCAACTTTTGTTTGTAGGGGAAAAGTTGTTGATACTGAAAATGCTTAATTTTTTTGCAAATACAGTAGCTTCTGCGGGGGGGAAATCACATGACTGCTTTCTTGAATATATGCAGTATTTTCTATGTGATAAATAACTGAAAGCCATTTGGTATATTTAGCATGCCAAATACTGCTGATTCTTTTATGTGTTATATTCCCTACTGTAATGCAAGTATACATATGAAATACTTGTTTTTGGCCATTTCTGATAACATGCTTGATGAAACTGCACCTGTTGCTGTTTTTTGGTGCCATGATACAATGTTTACAATGTTGGTAAGTAAGCATGAAACCCTCACAAATGTTTAGTGTGCAATGTGTATAGAAATCCCTAAATTGCATTGTACTTTTGCATTTCTTTGTGAGCAATAGACTTTTTCAGTGACTTCTTGTGCATTATAGTCTCTGAGGTCAGTCTTTCTTCAGCATGTTGCCATCTAATTACCTTTAAATATTGAACCTTGAGAACCCTTTAAAACCTTATTCCTACGCTGAGGTCCTTTCTTTATTCCAACGCTGAAGTTTTTTGTTTCAATTCAGGATCTTCATCTTTACATTCTGTATTATAATTTAACGTATGTAATAAATTCTTTCATTAAAGGAGCAGTTGCTAGAGAAATCCAAAGGAAAGGGAATTTCACAGACATGATTGATGGCAAAGCACTCAGGAAAGTGGAAGCTACATCAGTGTGGCTTTTTCCCAAGCCAATACAGGGTTGGGCAATATTGGTATGAGAATTAGCTGCATCATAAATTCCTCACAAGCAATTTCAGTTATGTCATATGTAGCACTGTAATCCAATTGATGGCATCTAATAAGATTTATGCCATCCTTAGAATTTAGAAGTGCTTAATTTTGTTTGGATTATGCAAATGAGCTGTTTTAGAAATCAGTATTACTGCTTAAATCCAGTGGATATGGCAGAAAGATGGAAAAGCCAGAAAGATGTTACAAGCTCTTATGGCATAATCCAACAGTAATTAAGCACTGAAGTTACGTTGATACCTACATGAGAGAAGTAAGCATCTACATAACTCAGCAGTTAAAATCCCAATGGCTTAAAAATTGCTTTAATTTGACCAGATCATGTCCAGAATGTGCACAAGCATACTAGAGACCTTTGTCACACTTTAATGAAGTGCATCTTTGAAATGAAAATTATACTGTGTTGAACTGAAAATATCATGACTAAAACAATATTTGTGGAATGGGACTTTCCTACTTCTCCCTTGTGCTACAGACCTCTGAGCCCCTAAAATTCTGCTTCTTGGATCAGGCGATCTTCACAAAACATGGGGACATCTTGTGAGGGGGGTATGCAAAAATTGCACCCCCTTCCTCCCTCCTTCAAAAACAGAAGCACTGTTCTTTGGCATGTGGCATTACAGCAGCAGTAGAAAAAGCACCTTTAGATCCAGCCCATTATGCCAGGTGTGACAGAGCTTTAAAGAAGGCAGGCACATGGTTTTCACTATGAGGGTAAAGATATTATTTAGTTAATATGGATCATGTAATGACTTTTGAAGAGAGAATTATTGTAATTTCACTTTTTCCCTTATGACTTTTTAGGTGCAGCTGTAGCTGGAATTTACAGAGTAGCTGGGAAAAGCATGGCACCCTTGGAAGCACTGGTGTTCGGAGTTGGGCAGACAGTACTGACACTGATTATTTCCTTTTCAAGGATTCTTGCTACACTTTGAATCTTCTGTGAAAACTTGGTTTAGAAAAAGGAAACAGTCTGTGAAGTTTCCCCAAAGTGCTTTCAGAGACTGATGGGTTTGAATTGCTGATGGATTGCAAGGGAAAATACTTGGTATGTGACCTGTGAAGCTAGAGGTCCCACCCATTTGGAAAGGACTTCCTTTAGAGTCCAAAAATGACTCATTACTGCACTGCACCTAATGTGCCTCTGTCACAGGCAAGGTGTGTTCAGTTAGATGAAGCTGCAAGATAAAAGCACCTTGTGAAGCTGCTAATCAGGCTAATGGTAGGTGATGCGATCATTGTTCTTAATAGTATTGAAAGAAAATACAGGGGCATTTCTGAAGAATGGATACATGTGCCAAATGTGAAGCTGACTTTATAAAAAAATAATGTGACAATTAAAATGTGTATTAATTGAGTGCTGCAAACATAATTCAAAAGAATGCAGGTACACTAACAAGGTACTTGCTTTTTATTATATTAACTGAATCCCACTCAGTTCAGAATGTTGAACTATGAAAAAAGTACTTGAGTTTTGAATTTGTGTGTAAGCATTGCTGAGATTCAATGGCTAAAGCAAAACTCTTGCAAGAACATGAATGTGATTGACCTAGTACAAGAAATCTTTATGAAGGGCAAATAGATCACTAGAACAGAACTCTTCATTTATATACTCTTGATTTTTTTTGCCAATTTATGATATTTCCCAAAGTTTCATCATAAATTGACACACCAGCTGTATAAATTAAGAACAGCTTACAAAATGAAATCTATGCTATCCTTAAACTTGATGCCCCCCCCCCAAAAAAAAACTGTCCAAGGTCTTCTGTGATTTTCTAAATATAGTTGCTGTTTTTCTTTCAGGAAACCAGTTGCATTGTTAAAAAGATACTTTGATCAATAGGAGCTGAAAAACATGTTTACTGCATGGCCTAATCTAAACTGCCAGAGGGATACTTGAGAAAATGGAAAAGGAGGGAAAGTTAATGTGATTATACCATAATTTAGAACAAAATGGCGACCGATAAATTGTTGGTATCAAAAGGACACAATTTAATAATCTTTTCTCTGTTCCCCAACTTTAAATAACTTTGGCGTGGTTACATGTGATTTTCATAAGCTTAGCTTCCTGTAGATATGTTCTGTATGTTGCTTTTTTAACAAAGGCAGTGGTGGTTTGAATGTGATGTCTTTAATATAAAATGCTAAAAGTGAATTGAGAAAAATTATAGGACAATGCCTAGATAGACAAATGTACATGTAGAGAATGAATGAAGAAATTATACCTTTGGGCTGATTTATATATTGCCCTTTAGGTGAGGGCACGGGTAATCATCTGGAAGAAGGGAGCAAGCTTCCTGAGTCTAGAAGTAGGTACAAGTAGCACTAGCTGGAAAGTCCACTTCAGCATTTATCAGAGATCCTTACAAGCTTTTGCTGCTCACCTACCATGAACTGAGACACCTTTTTAACAGCACCTCCTTAGCCTCTGGCTATGACTTCTCTTCTCTAGAGGAGTAGCAGCACCAAAGGATATTGCTGGGAGCTTGGGTTAAACTAGGCAGATGTGGAAAATGACATGGGGGTAGCTAGCATTGCCGTTTTGGCTGCCAGCAGAAGAATGGCAGTTCCCTGCTAGTTGCTAATAGAAATGATGGGAGGTTTCATTTCATATGTTCCTTTGCTAAGAGACATTGTGTGGGTCAGCCCATAAGTAAAATAGGCACTCTGCTTATTCAGGCATCTGAAAGGAAATTAGAGACATGGCCACAAGTTGCCATGATGGCAGAAGTTAATGCCTACGAAATCATACTTGCAGCAATAATACTCTTGACAGCACAGTGCTTTGTTCCACAGCCTTTCTAAATATTGTGATAAGCATCACAATTTATATTCATATACTAAGAAATTGCCACTAGAGGTTATTTTGCTTACTTTGCTTAGAGATAACATTTTAAAAAGAAAGCAGTTTTTAATCCCTTCTTGATGCTTGTTTTGTAATGATAGGCCTCCACCCCGTAAGGACCTGCATGTCTTTGTGGGCATATAAATGGAGCAGCTGCTTTGCTGTGAGTTTGCAGAGCTTTGTTTGCCATAGCCACTGATGGAAGCTCTGTATTCACCCGAAGCTCCAAGTCAAGGCCTTAAGGTTTTGGGGACTGGATTAATGTTCAGATACGTAAAGAAACAATTGACATATTGCATTATCCTTGTATCAGGTACTTTTTGTAGATACCAAGGTACAGTATAAATAAACATACAGTAGTACGAAGTGATATTTAATTTATAGTGCCTTGAGTATATATTAAAAGGAGTTTTCTAGCTTACTATCCACTAGTAGCTGTTCTGCCCCCTGTCATTAAATTCACTGTTGGACAATGTGGTGGTAGTGGTGTTCATGTTAAAAACAGAAAAGTTTAAAATTGGCATATTCATTCTAGTGCTACCAGTTCAAGTCAATGCAGAAGGGTCTTTCTTAATTCTTGGCAAAAATATTAAACACTGTATATCTTCAGGGCTTTATAGTTAGAAAATAGCATATTGCTTTCTATATTTTAGTCAGCATCAGAACATGCTGTTTGCAACAGTGTTGTGAATGTTATGTGTGAAGTGGTTTTATGTCTAGTGTTATGTAGTACTTTAATAATGCTACAGATTGAGCACTTCTCAGGCCCCAGTACTGAAGATAAAAGCTGTGTAAATTTCTCTTGAATTTAGGACTATAAATAGAAATGTGGTTTTATGTCTGAGGGTCAGATACTTCCTGTGTTAGCTGTGAGTGCCTGGCAAAGCTCTAATGGTTTTCACGTGAAAGAAGTCCTATCAGTATAGCTAGGCTGGGAATAATTTATAGTCAAAGTATATGCTTTCTTTTGAAATATAGCAGTATATTTGTTTGGTACCAACAGAATAACAGATTCTTAGCATGGGCATCTTTTTAAAATGAAAAAAGTGTCCTTCCACATGAACTGAGTGAAACTGCAACAAAAGGAAACTATCACAGATCATGTCAGGTAACATTCAACTACATGAGATACTCTTAGGATAAATCAATGTATATGATTGCTTCTCACTTTCTATAAAAATGGTAAAGAAAGTTTTCTATTACGGATATTGTTCTTTTAATGGATATTAAAGTGTATGTTGAAAAAATGGGCACAAGTAGTGAAGAAGTCTTTGGCCTTAAGTCTTTGAAAGGGATACATCATATTTTCATTATTCATGGCATTTTAATACTGATTTAAAACTGATAATCCAACAGGAACAAAGTCACTGAGGTAATGTGTTCCTAATAGCAATATTCTTCTTTATTCAGTCGTAAAGTATGTAAGAGGGTAGTACTGATTGGTAGTTCATCTGGCCAAAGGGATTACTTTCACAGTACTAGTCTTGTTTCTTCAAGGTTATAGCAGTGTGCTTTGTGTCAGGGTAGAATGTTGATTTGTATGAATGGCATTAAAATGATACTGTTAGCTGCTAAAAGAAATGGAAATTAGTATAGTAATCTTTATGAAATGTAGTCTGAGAAAATGATTGAACAAACTCTTCAGGTGGCTGTCTTAGCTTTAGAAGAATTCAGTATAAGATGTATGCAGTACTAGTGTCTGACCACTAACCTGAATTGCCAGAAATATTTCAAGACAGATCAAAATCTCTTGCTATTCAAGATGAACTCTTCTAGATGATCTTTGATTTTCTTTAAAAAAAATCTTAGGCTTCAAGAAAAAAACCTGCAATGCTTAGTAATGAAGATCTAGGTATTTTTATTTAGTTTTTCAGAGCTACAAATAGTATATACTTGGTTTTCGTTTATGAACACATGGACCAAAGAGGTGGTTAGTATGCATTGTATTTATGTGTAATATAACAGCCTAAATATATTTTTTCTTGAGTAAATCTGAGGAAAGCAATAGTGTTTCCTCATCAGTTTTGCACTTTGCTATATTTTGTTTTAGTATTATGAACTTCTTTCTACTTGAAGCTTGCGTATTTTTGTCGTGTTGTAGTAATACCAAGCTATCAGCTTTTGGTATGATTAAACTGATTTTTAAAATTAGTTATGTTTGAAATTTATTACCCCATTCCATGGATAACTTTATTTACATAGTCTCTTTGCCCCAAATGCATTTAAACATAATAATTTGTTAAATTATTTCTTTGTACATACCATAATCCAAAGTCTTGCATAATTGCACACAATGATAAAAGAGAGAAATTGAGACCCTGATTCATTAAACTTTTTTGTATGTGTTCATTGTATAGTGCTGCTCCAAACCTCATCATGTTTGTGATCAAAGTTGGGGTGGGAAAGAAAGATATCTGAAAAGCTCCAGTTCCACGTCATCTTCCGTGAGACTGGTTTGTACTTCTCAAGCTTTTTTCCTGTGGTTGTGTTTTGGACCAGAATTAAGATATCCAGACTGATTTTTTTTTTAAACCCCAACTATGTAAACCATTATATTTCCTAAATTAACAATGCCCCACAGAGCAGACATTCTCAAATTGGTCTTTGTGTAACTCTAGAAACAGTTACCTGTTTCTTATGAACACCTGTTTTCAGATCCTTAAAGTCATGTGTTCATTTTGGCAGCATCACAGTCCTTTCCATGAATGAAAAGAGAAAGATACACCATTCTAAATGCCTAAAGGTTGTCAGGTACAGAGTAATCATGGGAAATTGCTTTGAAGTAACAGCCTTTGAGGCTGTTGTATGGAGGCAATGTTAAATGCCTCACCATGGTTCCTTCCTCCATGCAACAAACTAAATGTATGCAATGGCTTAATTTAGAGATTGGAAACTGTTTCCACACAAACACAGGTCCCGTTCACACGAGGGAATTTGGGCCGGCAGCAGGACAGTTCGGGGGCGGTTCAAACGGCCGTGATCACACCACAACATCTGGGAAGCGTGGTGCTTCCGTCCCCGAACTGTCCCATCCATGCGATAAGGCGCATCAAGTTGAACCACCTACCGAGGTGGTTCATCTCCTTGGTG